TGCTAACAGTCTGATTTATTTTGAGGAATCGCCTGTCCTCCCTCCCTGTCCCTGTGGTTCAGTTGTAGCCAATCCTGCCTAGATGCCATCCTGCCCCAGAGATGGGCACAGGACTTGGACCCGGTCATTAAAACTATGAGTCTCCCTGACCTCAGTGATTGGACTGGAGCTGGCCAAGCGCACAGGCTGAGCCATGACTCAGAGCTACTGGGAAAGAAGCATTTATTGTCCTGCTGGGCTTGTCTGGCCTGCTTGCCTGGCACCGACATGGGCATGTCCGCTGAGAGCACAGTGGAGAGATGGGCAAAGACAGAACTATCGTGACATCATCTTGAGTATGTGAATCCAGCAGGGCCTTAATCTTAAAGATCTACACCTAAATTTTATAAATTGCCTAACTCAAAACATTTTCTGTCTTTATTTTAGTGTAAGTCTAGTTGAGTTGGACCAAGAGAGACCTAATATACTTACAACAAGACACTGAATGATGCTTAAAGAGAATAAGGGTTTCAGTGAAAGGACAGGGACAGTATTTTGGGCAATGACCTGCATCCAGCCAGATCCTGTGATGAACAAGGTCAACCCCACCCCCAGTGGTGGGTTCTGGCCCTAATTATCAGGGTGCCTTGGGGAGAGGGCAGAGGCTCATCCAGAGTTCATCCTGAGCTGACATCTAGTCCCCCACCCACCTAACCTTCCAGTGAGACTCAGTGTAAGAATATGAAACTGTTTTTGATGCGGTTTCACCTCCTCTGACTCCCACAATGCTTTCCAGGTCCCCAGAATTTTAATTTAGAGGCACCCAAAGATGCCTGAACTGGGGTTCCTCGCCAGCCACATTTCTTCTGCTGTTAAAACCCAAGTTTCCTGCACCTGTAATAGATGGCTGATTTCAAAACCCTTCTTTCTCTGCCGCTGTCCCTCCCTGTGCCCACTGGCACAGACAGGGGAGATGTCAGTCCTTAAAGACACAGCACTTGACCTTCATGACTGACTGCAGATCCTGCTTGTGGAATAGATGCTCTGGTTTCTTGTTGCCTTTCCTGGCTGATTTCCTGCTAATCATCGGTCCCTCTTTCCTATCTGGAGTTGAAAAGAGGGGGTAAGTAACAGACTGGTGAAGCATCATGAAGCCAGGAGCTGATCAGCCTTTCTACCAAAACCTGTCAGCATCTGGCCCCACAGGCCCCTGTGGGGATACAGTGGTACCAAGGGCACCCTGTCCTCAAAGAATGTACCTGGCAAGCCAGCAGCCCTGATCTTGTTTGTAGCTCTCAAAATTATAAAATGGCTGTAGAAGTTATGGGTAGTCAAAAGCCATCACGCATTTCTGAAGCTCATGCCATACTGTGTGCTCGGCCATCCTGATGTGACCTACTTGAAACATGTTTAGAAAAGACCCCCCGTGAATCTGCTTCCCAGATGGGACCACTGCAGGTTGTCAGCCGCCGGGAGTGGGCCAGGGGAAGGGGGCCGCCTGCGTGCCCTTTGGCTCTTGTGGGGGCCACCACACTCCCATCTGCTAGGCCCACGCTGGCTGCCCCAGGAGGGCACACAAGAGCAGGCCAGAACTCGCACAAATCGCCCACAACAGGAAAGACAGCACTGAAGCAGACAAGCCCTCATGGAGCAGTAGCTGCCACACAGGACGAACTGTGAGAATACTCCAGGCTTCCCAATTAGTCCTGGGTTAAAAAGGAGAGGAATCATATTGCACTAAGGACAGAGGAATGGACAGAGTTGGAAGCAGCAGAAACATTTCACGAAGGAGGCAGAATCTCAGATGGGGCTTGACAAATTATCTCCATGCATTTATTTTAACTTTATGTCTTAAAAACTGGGGGACCATTCAATTGAAAAGATCATATGAAGCAAGTAACGAATTCTGGAGAAATTGTAAATCTGCCATGTGACCTGACCCTCTGGCTGTCCTGCCTGTCTGCCTCAGCCCCTTTACTGAGCAGCAAGGTTAGTTGCAGCTGTGACCCTGACTGTCCCCCTCTGCACGGGTCAGGCACACACATGAGAGGGGCTCCTCAGCTGGCCCTTCCCACAGCCGGCTTCCAGGGCCCCAGCTCCCAGGCAGCTGCTGGGTACCCGAGGCTACTCCTCTCCTCACATCAGGTTCAAGGCTGGCCACTTTCTTTTGGGGTGGCTCTGACACAGCTTGAAAGTCAGGGTTTCCAGAAATGAGCCAGATCAGAGGCTGATCTGCCCACAGCCCTCTGCGGTCTGGGCTCAAGAGCTGAGGCGTTCCAGAGCGCAGTGGAACAAGTGCATGCTCTGCCTGCCCGTAGCAGGGGCAGCACTCATCTTGTTCCATGGGTGGCAACGCAGGGTAGAGGGAGCCCCAGCCCTGGTGCTTCTAGAAAACCAAGCCAGACTCCAGGCACACTCACGGGGGTTCTCAGGAGGCTTTACTCACTGGAAATAAGGACAGCAGGAGCCAGATGAAAGCACAGCCTGCGGACAGAGATGCTGCTGTGCCAGGAGCAGCTTTCAGCATTTGATGCTTGTCAATCATGAATATGCATCCTGTTTACCTAAGTTGCCTAGTGTAAGAGTACATGGCTAAGTCCCTGCCCGTACATGCAGAGGGTGTATTTTTCATCTTATGTATATGGATATGTGTGAACATGCAAATATGCATTGCAAATATAAATATATTAACATGCATATAGAATGCATATGTGAGCATCTGTCTCACAACCAGGGAAAGTTACCTGGATCCCATGACTCACTGATAACATAAGACAGTATTTTATACTCACTGATAACCTGCCCCTAAATCGAAGGACATAATGTCTGTTAACTTGGTTTTCCAAGTAACTACGTGCATGGTTCTGTGTTTTGACAGCAAAACAAGGCACTTTTCCTATAGGGAAAGGAAAGAAGAAAGCAAGGAGGAGAAGGTCTCCCACATGGAGGCAGCCTTACTAAAGATCTTCACAAAGTGGGTGTTCCTTTGCTCAACAAAGATTTACAGTAAAGTTAAGGAAATACAGAAGCCCTCAATTTATTCTCTCTCTGATGGAAGACACTGAAAAGTGTAGGCTTGAAAGATAATTATGACTTTGTGGTAAGAGTAGGCACAAGTGAGCTGGGAGTCAGGAGGAGGGTCACCAACCTCACAGAGGAGGAACTGGGGGTCAGAGACATTATTTCAGAGGTTGTGATGCTCAAGCTCTCTCTCCAGGGATAGGCTGGAAACAGCTAAGCTGCAGGAGAGGGAGGGTCATTCCAGGCAGACAGAAGAACGTGACAAGAAGGCAGAAGGCCCCCCCACCCCCCATGCTGGAGCTCACCCTGCTTTATTTTTCTTGATGGTACTTGGTGCCATATGATATTTCATACCTTTATTGGTGTATTCTCTGTCTCTCCCAACTAGAATATAAACCTCCTGAGGTCAGGGGCTTTTTGTTCTCTGCTACATCCCCAGCACCTAGAACATGCTAGTAGGTAGTGGAACCAGTAAATACTTGCTGAATGCGTGAATGTTGGAATGAAGCTGGTAGTCAGGCAGGCACCTCCTATCAATGCGAGGGGCCTGTGTGCTGCACCAGCGTGTGTGAACGTGACGTTGGAAATGCAACACCGGTTTGTAAACTGGCAGCCTACAGGACAAACATGGGAGTGTGCTGCTTTGCTTATAGTTTGTTTTTAAAGTTAGGCTATTTTATTTTAAAAAAACAACTGGATTTCTGGCTTCACTTAAACTACCAGAGGACGCAGCAGCATGGAGCCTGAAGGCTTGCCAGGAGAAGTCAGCGGGTGAGCAAGGCCTGGGCTCCCTGGCTCCTCCAGTCTCAAATGTCTTGCATCAGGCCTTCCTTCCTCATGTGTCACCTGCTCCACTTAGATAAAGCTTGCAAGGTCTGGCATAGGTTCAGAACATCTGGTTTAAAAATTCTACTGCAATAGCGAGTCTTGTCTCCAAAATAATCCCAATGAGCCAAGGCTTCTGGTTTTTTATGCCTTCCCACAGTGAATCCGAGCTGGTCCTGTGAAGCTAATAGAATGAGCTGGAAGTGACACTGTGTGACTTCAAGTCCAGTTCAGAAGAAGCCAGACACCACGTAAGAAATCTGCCTACCCGTAGGCCTTCATGCTGTGAGGAAGCCCAAGCCTGCAAGGTAGAGAAGCCATATAGACAGAGAGAGAGACATGCCCGGGCAGTCCCCAAGGGTTCTGGCCACCCCCTCTGAGATGCCAGACGTGTGAAAGCCATCTTGGACACCCAGGCCAGCTGCGCCCTGACTGCAGCCACAGCGATCACAGGACAGACTCCAAGAGACAGCCAGCCAGCTGAGCCCGTTCAACCCACAGAATCAGGATGTATAGTAACAAATTATTTTAAGCCACTATGTTTTGGATGACTTGTTACATAGCAATAGATAACAAAACACATTGCCACTTACTAGGACTGTGTCCTTAGGCACATTATGTAGCATCTTGAAACCTCAATTTCCTCATCTTTAAAATAACAATAATAGTACTGACTTCAGAGTGTTTTAAAGTTTAAATAAGATTGTGAACGAAACGTACTTAGTCTTGAAGCTAGCATATCATAAGTGCTTAATAAATCTTAATCATTATTTTATTTTAGTTCTCATTATTATTGTTTTGAAGTCTGTCCAGTGGGTACATCTCTTAAAACCAGCACATGCCATAAAGGGAGGGGGCAGAGGCAAGGAAGGTACGGTGAACAGACCAGGGTCAAGGAGGGTGTACGGGCACAGGACAGTTGTCACTGTGGTGTGTATGTCTTGATGTCCCAAACTCTGAAGTGCCAGGCAATTGGCTATTTACCCACTTTGAGATCTGTACAAAGGATTCGGGGAACTCCTATGAAGTTACAATGCATTAATTCAAAAATCACTGAAAAATATTTATTGAGCACTGAGGCTCCAGGCCAGGCACTGCTTTAGATGCCAGGGATACAGCAGTGAACAAAACAGATGTGGACCCCTGCCCTCACGGAGCTTCCATGCTTGTGTTGGGGAACAAATATCTAACAAGCAAATAAGTAAATATGTAGTGTGGTAGATGGTGATAAGAACAATGGAAAAAAATAAGGGTGATAATGAGTGTGGAGTGGAGGAAGCTGGGTTGTAGTTGTAAGTAGATGAAGGAAGACCTCCCGAGCATAGTGTAAAGTGAAAGAGGGAGGGGCAGCGAGGGACCATCATATAGAAAGATCCACACATAAAGAAGAGCTGGAGTCTCATACCGTTACATCTACTGATGATCAATCACACTGATGAATATATATGTTTCTCCCAATGATTCTGTAACATAAATATTACCATATGTTGTCCTTAATTCACTCAGTCACTTTTTTATTTCTTTTATTTTATTTCACTCAGCTTATATTTTTCTTTAAGCTACTTTTAACTTATTTTTTAAACAAAGCAAGATGATAGATTAAGTTAAGTTAGGTTAAATAACAATTTCTAAATCTCATAGCTTACCAAAATAACAGTGTATTTCTTGTTCACACAAAGTCCTTAGTCTCTAGGCTCCACGGTGTCTTCATTCAGGGACCCAGCTAAGGCACCCCCATCCACACAGAAAGCCACTGCAGGGGGGAGAAGGAAAGAAGTAAGACTGGCACCAGGTCTTAAATGCTTCTGCAGGAAGGGACATACGTCCTCTTTCATATTTCAGTGGCCAGAGAAGGTCATGCATAGCTTTGTGTGTGCGTGATCATCCTAAATGCTTAGAAATTAAAGGAAATAGATACTGATGAATAGTTTAATGTCTATCATAGATGGATAAACAGAAACAATAGGTGATAGTAAATGATAAGTGACTGAGAGCTCGAAAGATCAGTGAATGATGGATGGATAGACAATAGAGTAGATAAATGAAAATGAGGCTTACAAATGGTAAGTAATTTGCCCAAGGAGGAAAAGTCTGTAAGTACCTAAATCAAGATCAGAACCCAGATTTGTCTGGATTTCAAACTGGTCTTAGTGACACAGTATATGGACTCTATGGAGCCAAATAGAATCTTTGATATCAGGTCAGATGACAGCAACTGAATGTGACTTTTTGACTGGGTGTTAAATTTATCTCTGAATTTTGTTCTCATGAAGCACAATATAAGAACTTCTGCTCTGTTATTAAGCAAATTTTAAAAACTATCATTATTCAACTACCATGACAGACAACCTCAGTCAGCCAGCAAAAAACACTGTTCCATGGGAACACAGTTTGAAAATCGCTACAATGAAAGCCTCACTCTATAGAGTATTTTCCAAAATCAACAACCAATTCTCTGATTCTCCTGATGCCAAGAGGTGCTCAACTTTCTGGAGTCAGTGCAGACCTACAGCTTCAGGGACCAGTCCCAGAGGACTGCACTTGGATCTTTGGCAGCTAGCCATGGGGGGTCCTGGTCCCTACCTGCTGACCGGCTGGCCCTGGGGAGTCCTGGGTCCCACTTGCTGACCAGTTGGCTGTATGTCAGGGTTCAGGCACACCACCTTCCCAGCACCATGAGGTGTCTACCAACCTGTAATCTCTCCAAACTCCATTGGTTAGTGGTTTTAAGGACACTCCATTATGTAGACATAATGAAGTGAATCATTGGCCATTGTTGATTAACTCAATCTGCATCCCCTCTCTGCCTCCCAGGGGTTGATACTGGGGCTGAAATTTTCGACCATCAAATCACGCCTTAGTCTTTCTGCAACCAGCCCCCAGCCTGGAGCTATCAGGGACCCAGCTGCCAGTCACCTCATTAGCATACAGAAGATAGGCCAAAGGATTCCAAAGGTTTAGAAGATGTGTGCCAGGAGCCCAGGACAAGATCAAACATTCATAGATGGTCCCCAACTTAGTAGTTTGATTTAGGATTTTTCACAATTTTTTGACTATACGCTTTCTAAGAAATCAATACGTAAGAAAGCAATTTGTTTCAATAGGACCCATACTTCAAATTTTGAATTTTGGTCTTTTCCCAGGCTAGTGGTTATATGGTATAACTCTCTCTTGAGATGCTGGGCAACATCAAGAGGTATACAGTCAATACACTTAAAACCATTCTGTCCCCATACAACCATTCTGTTTTTCATTCTCAGTACAGTATTCAATCAATTACATGAGATATTCAACGCTTCATTATAAAACATGTTTTGTGTTAGATGATTTTCCCCCCATGTAGGCTAATGCAAGTGTTCTGGGCACATTTAAGACATGCTAGACTAAACTATGATGTTCTTTAGGTTAGTTGTAATGAGCTGAAAATGATATTTTCAACCTACTGATAGATTTTTATCAGGTTGTAACTCCATCATAAGTCAAGGAAAGACCTATATTTTTTATTATATCACAATCACCATGCTCGTGCTCAGACTAATTTCATTCTATAACATCTAAAATTTGAACACTTGAAAGTAGAGACAATTTCTAACTTTTGAGAAATGGAATTCAGGAGTGGCAGACACCTGAGAGAGACCAATGTTCTTAGTATTTTAAAAATTGTTCAATTGATTTGGTTCTGGATTTAATTGAAACTGGACATCAATACCTGGAAAACTTCTACAGTATTTTTTTAATAGGTGGTATGTGCATGTTTTCCACAAAATATTTTGTTGAGTTGCAAAGATCTGTGTATGTATATATAATACAGAGCTGCAATCCCTCATCCCATAAAGGTCTGAAAACTGGGAATTTTTCACAACTCACTTGGCAGTGAGCCCTAAATTGAATTCGTTTGTTAACAATATTGAACCTACACTCTCTTGAGATTATTTAGAGTCTTAAATAGAGTCTTTTTTCCCACTAGTGTAAATATTCATATAACTGTCAAAACATGAATTTTGATCAAATATTAGTTTGATCATGGAAAGCTGATCCAGACTGGGAGTGGGTGGGTGGGTGTTACATCACAGCAAGATATATATATATATATATACATATATATATATATATATATACTATGTTACCCTTCTAAAATGAAACCATTTAAAACTTTGAAACACATTTGGTCCCACAGATTTGAATCAGATATTGTGCTTGAGATGACCATTTTCCTGGTCAGGAATTTGCCCAGGTAGTTTGCCTGCTGAACCAGTTAGAGAGCTGGTATTCTCCCACTTACAAGGTCTCTTCTTACCTGCCCAGGCTGAGAGAAGACATGGGTGTTCTGCCTGCTGTCTGTCACCAGTGAGCTGTCATTTGTTGCTAGTGTCCTTATCTCACTTATCTTCTGCTAGAAAAGAAAAAAAAATTAGGTCCTTGTAGGTCAATGTTGCATTTTTGCAAGCTTTGCCTCATGGTTTCCTCTTTCTTGAGTTTTTCTTTCAATAGCCATATTTGTCTGTGCCATTCTTCTGGGTTTGTGCATAAACCTCCTCCTTCTGTACCGGTACTGCTTGTATCTGCACTAGTGTAGGAATATGGGCCTCGGTACATGTGGTCATCCTATTTCTTCATTAGGACAATTTGTGTTTTACTGCCAAAAACATCCACAAGGAAGGGTTCTGATGAGATTGTTCCTGTGTCCTTCAGATCCCTGTCTAGGAGACGTGCGCAACATGGAAGGGAGGATTCACCAGTTTTCTTCCCACCACCAACTCCCCCAAAAGAAGGAGGACTTAAAACACATGATATCAAACTCAGGGTTTTAAGCCTGTTTGGGGGTGACAGAGCCCTTTGTGAAATTGATGAAAGTCAAAGACCGCTGGACAAAGAAGGACAAATTCAAAATTTTGCATAGAACTTCAGGTTTCTCAGATCCCCTCTGCTGAGCCCATATTAAGAATTTCCATCCTAGACCAGTGATTCTCAAAGGCCACGGGCCCTAGGAGGTGAACTGGATCCTTAGGTAGGGAGGTTCACACCACTAATTAATCTCCACGAGCAGAAAAGCTCATGATGGAGGTTCAGTAATTGTATCTTCATATGACAACAGAAAACCAAGAGGAGATAGAAGAACCTTTGCCCAGGGAAAGAAATTGAAATCCATCAGATCAATGACCAGCTGTGGCTTTGAAGCTCACTCATTGTACTTTATGCCTCTAGGCTTTTTGGGGCTCTTTATGGATGAATTGTCATCCTGATGCCCAGTCCTAACTCTTACCCCTCCCCGATAATGTCTATCACCACTGTTTCCATTGCCTGACAGACACCTTCTCATTCTTCAAGACACAGCTCGCAAGGCAGATTCTCTGTGGAATCCACCCTGCCAGGCAGAATTACACCTTCCTTGTTCCTCTAGCTTTTCATCATACCACTACTGGAGTACTCGAACATGGTATTATGATAATGGCCACTTGCTTGCCTTTCTTTGTGTGCCCCACTCAGTAGACTCTGAGGTTCCTGAGATTAGGGTCTGTGTTTTTCTGTATTACGTAACACTTACAACAGCTCTGCTGGAAGCATTTGCATTTGTCGTTGGGGAAGCTTCATAACTGCAAAGAAACCCAGATAAAGATGTTTCAGACATGCTCTGGATCAGGAATATGTAAGTCATGGCTTTCAGTTGGATCACACATACATTTGGAATTGTTCTAGGACTTCGATCTCTCAGCAGCCTCACAGCTCTAGGGAGGAGGAGCAGACAGATTCGTAGGCAAATTATTGTCACTATAATATTATGATTAAACACTGGAATGGAGATATGTATAGATTGATGAAGATGTTAGAACATGTTGCTCTAAATGAGTATTTAGACAATCTTTGAAGGTTATGGGTTTTTTATCTTGGAAGGCACATCACATGCACAGGCATGTGAGTGGGTGTGCATGTGGGTTCATGCCCACGCAGACCTGTCCAAGCTGTGCCCTTGGGGAACAGGAGCAGGCCGAGACCAAAGCAGGAGGATGGGCAGGTCTGACCTTCTCTTATTCTCAGGCCAACCACAGAAGCAAACAGGACAAGACTTGACACAACCCAGCAGCATCTGGATTGGGGCTGCCACCCCCACCCACAAAAGGCTCATGTTGGGAGCATGTACGGTTGGACAATGACGGTTTTAAAGGAGTGAGTTGTGCTACTTCGGAAGTGTTTTAAGATGGGTCAGGCAATAAAAGATCTCTGTGATGACCCTTTAGAACTCAGGGTAATAAATCAGTAACAAAGAGTTAAGTTACTGGATGCCACAGAGAAAAAGCCCTAGGAGTTATAAAACATATGATGAAAGTCAGCAGATTACAGATTTGGGGGAAGTAGTTCCCCTAATTACCAGTGGAAGTTTGTGCATCTGTAATTCCTCTTATAGAAGATATGAGATACACCAGCAATTAAGGTTCCTCAGTGGAAATCTTGAGGACAATAAGTCGTCTCCTTCCATTTCATTTAACTTTTAGTTCTGTGACTCCTCTTTCATAAATATTGCAGGATGGAAATACAAACCCACAGCCAGTTTTCAAAGATGGATTGACAACTTATTGGTCATAAATGACAGTTTAGAGTTACCACAGGATTGACTAAAGGTGACTGCGTTAATACCAGGTTCAGACTCACTCCTGGTAACAGACGGAGGCTTACTGATCTTTACAATCAAATTGCCAGCAGACGTGGCTTTAAACTGATCCATACCACAGTGGAAAAAAAAACCCTTCTAGAACGCCCATTTTTATTTATTTGATAAACTATAATTAGGCAAACAGCAATGTGCCAAAGCTAGGCTGGGATAGGCAATCTGGCCCTGGGGACAAGATTTCAGGTACTTCTGAAGGATGTGATGAGCCCAGTGGATACACAGCAACACAGCGACACAGCAAAGCTGATGCAGCCTGGGTGGGGCACACGCGGTGCACGTGAAGGGTGCTCTGGGGCTGCAGGGGGAGATCAGACACAGCTGGGGGGAAAGGAGAGCCACAGTTTCCGTTCTCTGCTCTATTAGTAAACTATTATTTTTAAGTTGAGCCTCTTAAGCAGACAGATTCGTAGGCAAATTATTGTCACTATAATATTATGATTAAACACTGGAATGGAGATATGTATAGATTGATGAAGATGTTAGAACATGTTGCTCTAAATGAGTATTTAGACAATCTTTGAAGGTTATGGGTTTTTTTTCTTGGAAGGCACATCACATGCACAGGCATGTGAGTGGGTGTGCATGTGGGTTCATGCCCACGCAGACCTGTCCAAGCTGTGCCCTTGGGGAACAGGAGCAGGCCGAGACCAAAGCAGGAGGATGGGCAGGTCTGACCTTCTCTTATTCTCAGGCCAACCACAGAAGCAAACAGGACAAGACTTGACACAACCCAGCAGCATCTGGATTGGGGCTGCCACCCCCACCCACAAAAGGCTCATGTTGGGAGCATGTACGGTTGGACAATGACGGTTTTAAAGGAGTGAGTTGTGCTACTTCGGAAGTGTTTTAAGATGGGTCAGGCAATAAAAGATCTCTGTGATGACCCTTTAGAACTCAGGGTAATAAATCAGTAACAAAGAGTTAAGTTACTGGATGCCACAGAGAAAAAGCCCTAGGAGTTATAAAACATATGATGAAAGTCAGCAGATTACAGATTTGGGGGAAGTAGTTCCCCTAATTACCAGTGGAAGTTTGTGCATCTGTAATTCCTCTTATAGAAGATATGAGATACACCAGCAATTAAGGTTCCTCAGTGGAAATCTTGAGGACAATAAGTCGTCTCCTTCCATTTCATTTAACTTTTAGTTCTGTGACTCCTCTTTCATAAATATTGCAGGATGGAAATACAAACCCACAGCCAGTTTTCAAAGATGGATTGACAACTTATTGGTCATAAATGACAGTTTAGAGTTACCACAGGATTGACTAAAGGTGACTGCGTTAATACCAGGTTCAGACTCACTCCTGGTAACAGACGGAGGCTTACTGATCTTTACAATCAAATTGCCAGCAGACGTGGCTTTAAACTGATCCATACCACAGTGGAAAAAAAAACCCTTCTAGAACGCCCATTTTTATTTATTTGATAAACTATAATTAGGCAAACAGCAATGTGCCAAAGCTAGGCTGGGATAGGCAATCTGGCCCTGGGGACAAGATTTCAGGTACTTCTGAAGGATGTGATGAGCCCAGTGGATACACAGCAACACAGCGACACAGCAAAGCTGATGCAGCCTGGGTGGGGCACACGCGGTGCACGTGAAGGGTGCTCTGGGGCTGCAGGGGGAGATCAGACACAGCTGGGGGGAAAGGAGAGCCACAGTTTCCGTTCTCTGCTCTATTAGTAAACTATTATTTTTAAGTTGAGCCTCTTTGATGTGATGTATATCAGCATTTTATGCTCCCTCCTTCTTTTTCATGTGGGGATTTTGAGTCATTTTTCTACTTCCTCTTTTAAAGTTCCATAAGCCCCAATAAATACAAATTCTGATTGCCTGCTCTTGGGGAAAGCAGACTTTTCCTTCACCACTTATACACATACTGTTTATTCCTCCTTATTTCTGCCTGGTTCTTAGACTTGGGACGGCGCAGACTTCCTGACCTTAATTGAAGGTCAAGGGCTGTGGCAGTTCCTGCCTAATCAATAGCATTCATGAAATATTTACTTCACCTCATTGAACAAAACACCTCTTTGAAACAAGGACTCATATATTCTCATCTAATAGCTACATGCCACACATATACTCGGCATGTATTTTCTAAATTGGACATTTTCACTTAAAAACTTACCCCCTATCCCAAAGGGGCTCAAGATGGCAGTGTGAGTAGGGCAGCAGAAATCTTCCAAAACCATATATATTTTTGAAAATACAACAAATACAACTATTCCTAAAAGAGAGAACAGAAGATACAGTACAACAGCAAGGTTACATCTACATCTGTGAGAACTCAGCATCTCACGAAAAGGGTAAGATACAAAGCCATGACCCGGCAGGACCCGAGCACTACCCCCACCCCAGCTCACTGGTGAGAGGAAAAGAATCAGAGTCGGGAGGGAGTGGAAGCACAGGACTGCTAAATAACCAGCCCTAGTAATCTTCACCCAGAGCACAGACACACATTGCATGGTGTACTGGATAGTAGAGAAATGGAAAAGTAAAATCCAAGATGGAGACTGTGAGTGGGTCCCCACAGCCGGCTCCCCTGGGACAAAAGTGGCACTTTTTAAAAGTCTTAAAGGGACAAGGGCTCAACAGCTGGACAAAATCGTCTTGGCACACTCAGCCCAGCAGGCTGGGAATCTTGGGGAACTTCAGGTTCCCTAACCCCCTGGGGGGTAATGCAGACCCGAAGCCCTCACTGCGATAAGCAGCCTG